CAGTACAAGGAAGAAAGTCTGGCTGACAAGCTGAGCCTAGCTGAAAATCTGAGGTAAGGGGCTCTGTGCATTGCAGACAGGGTGGCTGGTGTGTGAATGCCTAAGTGTGCCAGCTCAGGTGGGGGAACCAAGAGATAACCTGGTCACAGACAGGAGGAGCAGAAATCACATGGAAGGTACATGATGACAATGAGCTTGGAAACCTTAGGAAACAATCTATTGGTAGGGAATGCAATGAACTTAATAAAGATTCTCATTTGTACTTCTGTAAATGTGTTGTGCTTACTTCAGTTAATATAAGATTAATTTAAAGTGAAAAATTATGAGACATTCGGTATGTTCTCCACCTTTGACACTATGCAATTGCTGCCTGATGTACTGTCTTTCAAATTCTACTGATGAGTGACACCTCGTCACCTTTCATTCACAAAGGCTGTGTCTTCCTGAACCTGTCCAACTCCATTTCTTTCATTTTCTGCTGACCCCAGCTCCAATTGGACACATTTCTGTTGCTTCACTGAAGACATGCATGGTATCTCTAGTGATATAGAGATGTCTACACCCAATGGGGCCCTAAAGGGACATCTCTGGAAGAATGAAAAGCTTCATTTCAGTTAGAGAAGAGTAGATGAGGAGAATGTTGAAGAATCCTACAGGAACAATTTCAGACACAGTGCAAACCTGTATTTATCTTTTCCTTAGCAATCGGCAGGACAGTAATCCCAAATCTTGCTTTGGCACCGTTTAAGAATATACCCACAGTTGGTTGGTCATTCATGCCTTTTATTTTCTCTCTATTTCACATAGGGAATGCAGTTCCTACATTCAAGATCAAGACCAGAAGTTGTCCTTACTTTATCAGAAATTACAGCAAGGGAGAGATGCCTCATTTCTCCTGTGTCAACATCTCAAGGACCTCCTCACCTGGGGTGACCCTAATACCAGCCAGGGTCACATCTTCCATGAGCTTCTGGCTGTGAGCTGCAGGCTGGCAGAGGACCTTGCGCGAATGCTCAGTCCAGGTGAGGTGTCCACAGGCCTTGACTACCCTGAGGAACTCCAACATCCCCAATTCTCAAACAGTATCTTCATGGAGGGACTTATAGTTCCTAGAATCCAACTGTGTCCTTTCTTCTTCACAAATGTGGTCTTTAGCTAGAGTGAGAGCATCCATCAAGAGGGAAATCAGAAGACTGAAATATGGAGGGGGCAACTTTTGGATAATAATCATTTTGAAGTAAGAAGGAAAGTTTCTCACCCTGCAGCCTCTTTTATTTAGTTTACTGGGTGTGACTCATCATTGCTGTCTATTGAAGTTTGTTCTCCTAATCTTTAAGAAATGGATCATATAGTCTCTATAGCTACCTTATTTGGGAATGGAATATTTTTGTGAGGGTTCCTAAAAAGAAGATCTC